AATTGCTAATGATGGATCACAGATTGCTATGTAGCATAACATTAAGCGAGACATAGCTGAGGCCTAATAGGATAAAATATAGTTGCTACACTGTTCAGACATTAGAATAAAGAATATTTATTGTTCTGGGAAGTACAAAAGCTGTGTGAAACATCTAAAAGAAAAAAAATGTTCATTTGATCTGCGTACGGAGAAATGGAACAATGCATCTAAAAGTCAGCAGGCACCTTAAAGAAAGGTATCAATACGGGATATGTCCACCGTGGAGTGTGATGCAACATTCCACACGTCGTACCATACTTTGCACAACATTATCCAGCAACTGTTGAGGCAATTTATCCCATTCATCTGTGAGTGCACGGATGAGGGTGTTCTTGTTTGTCGGAGGATAGTTTCGACCAGCAACTTGCCTCCCCAAAGCATCCCACACATTTTCAATGGGGTTTAGATCTGGAGAACGCTCTGGTCATACGAGACGTTAAATACCCTCGCTGTCTAGACAATCCTGAACAGCGAGAGTTCGATGACATGTTGCGTTGTCGTCCATAAAAACAAATTTATCACCGACAGCAACACGGAAAAGACGAACATGAGGAAGTAGAACTTCATCAATGTATCGTTGGCCCGTCACAGTCCCATTCGCAACCACATGTAGGCGCGTGCGGTCATTGATCATGATGGCGGCCCACACCATGATACTGCATGTCGGATATCGATCATTTTCCTGGATATTTTCTGGACGATAAGCAGTACCACTCTCGCGCCAGATCAGTTGGCGTCTACAATCCGATGACAGACTGAACCTACTCTCATCTGAGAATAGTACGCATGCCCAGTCCTGTTCAGTCCAATTGTGATGCTCACGACACCATTGCAAACGGGCAGTACGGTGCTTTCTGGTCCATTGGACACACACAACAGGTAGGCGTGCGTATAGTCCTCCTCCCCTCAAACGTCTGGCAACAGTTTTTCGGGAGATCTGCTTTCCTGAGACAGCAAGAAACTTATTTGCCACCAGCTGAGCTGTGGTGCGCCTGTTCTTTTTGCTGATAGGACGATATATCTGTCTTCTGCAGGCGTCGTACTTCTAACACGACCTCCCCCGTGCCGTCTACTACACATTCCAGTAGTTTTAAATGACTTCCACAGCCGTGAAACAACGTTTTGAGCGATGTCGAACTCCCTGGCAACATCTGTTATTTTTCACCCTTCTTTGATCTTTCCAATAATTCGGCCACGCATGAAATCATCTATGTAATGTCGGGAAGACATGCCAAAAATTTTATATTCGTCTATTAAATCTTTCCTGTAAAACTTTGACTTGAAACAACAACTGTCCACACGCGTCAAAACCTTTAAAGCTCTTATGAACGCTATCACGTGATGAACAGACGTGGAAAAAATTGCATACTCCTACTTCTTCTTACTAATATCCCGCACTTATTCTAATTTTCCACATTTTGCTTCCTTTCATTTTGTGGTTGCTATGGATGATAGTGTTATCCGTCCTTAGCAATTGTCCAGCAGTGTATATACCGATGGCCCAAAGTCATGGAATATCATAAATATATTGCAATAGTGAGGCGGAAGAAATGCATAAATTGGAGAGAGCATCGTAAATTGTTTCATTTAAACTCTAGGGAAAACATTGTTATAAATGGCTTGTGTTCATGTGAAACTATTTCCGTCGTGATTATGTCGAAATGGTAGGCATGAACATAACTTTAACTTGGAGTTCTTGTTAGATTTATATACATGAAGCTTTTCATTTCAGAAATTGTAAAGGAATTAATATGTACTCAATCCACAATATCATTATTGATACAAGGACCTTGCATACATTTTCCAGTTTTATTTCCTCTATCCTGCTCTACGGGCTACAACTCTCTGCGTCTACTTATTGAGGTTAGCAATGTGTTCAAAAAGCAATTAATGTTACCAAGTAACATTGTGTCAAATAACAACAATTAATATCAGATTTATCTTTGTGAACAATGTCGAAATTTGATATTGATGAGGCATAGCAGAAGAAAACCGGTTCGGTCGCCTTTAACAACAAAATAACATCGAAATTAATGTCTCTGCTTCGCTAATAAACTTATCGCTTATTATTTCTATGAGTAGGGAAATGTTACTTTTGTCAACTAATTCAGGATTATAGCCGATATGAGTTGATAATAAGGGCAGGAAATCGACACAGACCCTTAAGAGTCTTTGGACACAGTTTCAACAAAAGAGTGTGTAACCTGGCGGTGACTTCATAATAATACAGATGGTTTTCGCATGACATTGAAAAGACCATGTGGACAAATTAAACTAATAATTGATTGGAAGTTATTACCATTTGACTTGAAAACCTTTTTTAGCTATTCATAAATTTATTATACCCACAAACAGATGCATCTCTTCCAGTTGACAATTCCCGACATTGCCAAGCCAAAACCATTTGTAATTAGCTTAAGGAACTTCCTGGACATATCTATCAAATGGTTTAACCACCCTAGATCAACAGGCGTGAATCTTTTTGGGCATATATTTTGCAACACAGAAAGCTCACTTTGTGTTCAAAATGAAGTAATTGTAGAATTTTCACAATTATGGATGATTGTAAAGAATTAATAACTTTTTCGGTGGACTTCCGATGACATTTTTTGTGAATCCTAAATCTAGATGCTATAATTACCAGAAAAATAGAACGTATAATCTGATATTAGGAGGTTAACCCATAATATTTGATACCTTAGTATGTCCTAGAGAGCATTTGAATTGCAACCTATCTAATAGTCCAATATTGTATAATAACGCCACCATGCACCCTGAGGTGGGCAAAATCTTTCTGGAGGAAGTCGCTTTTGCCCAGAATGCGTTATACGGCTATATACAACCACAGCATCTCAATAATCCTCCACATTTTAAGAATATTACAAGCTTTTATTTAACTTGCAACGTAAAATGTTCGGGTGGAATCTTGCAACACAACTTTGAAGCTGATGCTTTTAACTGATTGAGCTGAAATTTTGTATACACGTTAAGTTTAGATGACAATACATGTTTTGACTATTTATATTCGAAGATCTCAATTAGTTAAAAATATACTAATTAAAGTAATTTGTTCGGGTGGAATCTTGCAACTCAATTTTGAAGCTGATGTTTTCAACCAAATGTGTTGAAATTTTGTATAGATGTTTAGTTTGGATGACAATGCATGTTTTGATTATTTATATTTCAAGGTCGCAATTAGTTAAAACGGTATTGATTTAAAAGTTCTTACCCATGTTAAAAGCTTAAGTTACCTATTTCCATAATTCCTCGTGGCCTAGAGGTTAGAGAAGCTGACTTCAAATGAATTGTCATTGGTTCAATTCCCAGGAGCTCGCATTTTTAAAATTTACTTTAAATCACGTTAATTTTCATTAGAAAATTAACGTGAATTACGTAACATTACGTTAATTTCACGTTAATTTTCATTTCCACGTCCTTTCTGTTTTTTACAAGCTTTTATTTAACTTGCAATGTAAAATGTTCGGATGGAATCTTGCAACTTAAGTTTGAAGCTGATGTCTTCAACTGATTGAGCTGAAATTTTGTATACACGTTTAGTTTGAATGACTATGCATGTTTTGACCATTTATATTTCGATATTGAACTAGTAACTGTCTTGTTCAGGTGTTAAGGCAAGCATGTTTACGATACCACAGGTATCAACCGAAAGCGTAGCTCAGATGGTAGAGCACTCGCTCATTATGCGAGAAGTTCGGGGATCGATACTCCGCTCCTCCAGCTGTAATTTTTTCGTGTAAAATATATTTGAAATTCGTTTAATTTGTACAACGAGATATATTTTACAATACTTCCACTCTGCGTACGTACAAAGATTGTTATATTTTTACTGTTCTTTAGGGAACACTAAGAAAGAAAGATCTATCAAACTATTTCTATTTACTTTCAAACATTCTAAAATATCTATTTACTCAATGCTGGTTTCTACCATAACACTTTTAATTGACCTAGTTACTGTAATGATCTTGTTCATGGGTTAAGGCGAGCATGTTTACAATAACAGAGGTGCCGACCAGTTGCGTAACTCATATGGTAGAGTGCTCGCTTTGCAGGTGATAGGTACGAGGATTGATACCTTGAGCATCCAATTATAATTGTTTCGTTTCCTGGAAAAAATTTGATTTGTACAACGAGATATTTTACAATACTTTCCCTCTGTGCACGTATGAAGTATATTTTACAAGCTTTTATTTAACTTGCAATGTAAATTGTTCGGGTGGAATCTTGCAACTCAAAGTTAAAGCGGATGTATTCAACCAATTGAGCTGAAATTTTGTATACACGTCTAGTTTTGATGACAATAAATGTTTTGACCATTTATATTCCGGTATCGCCTTTAGTTAAAAATACTAGATGCATGGCCCGGCGTCGCACGGGCTTTCCTGGCTTTTATAAATTTTCTCTTTCCTTCACAAAATCATCACTTCTCTAATATTATTTTTCAAAATGAATTCCACCCCCCTTCTCCGCTTAGCCAGATGTTGCTCGGGCTTTTACCGAGTGTATAACTTAAAATTCCCTGTTTCGAAATTTTTCGGCTTCTTTTCTTTGTCAGACATGTTTACTTCCCCCGGCGTTGTACGAACATTTTTGAATGCGTAACATATTGTCCTCTGTAGCTTTCAGTGCTCTCAAGTAAGTGAACATTCATCGATTTTTAAACATCTTGATAGGTGCAGCCCTGTAGTGGCAAAAAATAATGGATTATTGCACACACAAAAATTCGTAAAAAAAGTTTTTTCAACATTTTTTTTTTAAATCACTAACTGTAAAAATCAAAGTATGAGTTTTTTAAAAATCATTTTCATCCATCTAAACGCATCGATATTTATTCGTTTTACAAAAAGTCATAGGTAAAATATCGTTTTGTAAAAAAATATACTGTATTGTGACGAAATAAATTATCTTTCCAATTACAAAATTGCTGCCGAAGCTTTTAAATGCACGAATAAAATTTTGAGTATCTTTTAAAACAATCATAAAAACTTAGCGGTGGTGTTGTTTCGAACCCGGGTACAAAAGTTAATAATCCAGCGCTTTGAGCGTTCAATCCACGAAATCATCGGAAAAAAAGAAGAAAAAAAGACCATTAAAATAAAAGAAAGATATATTCAATTTCGCATTGCATTATTTGTTAAATTTTAAATTTGGGGAACTTCATTTTTAAGTTAATGCCTTCAAACTTCATATATCGATTGCTAACAAAGCAGTTTTTAAACAAAAAATGTAACAAAAATAATGCTTAAATATTTCTCGCAAAAATGGGAAAAACACGAAAAACACAATTTTTTTAAACTGTAATTTTTAAGCAATTTTTTCAAATTTTGTGCAGATTACGGATAATATCGTTCTACACACGGAAAAAAAATCCATACGATTATTTTTATAAATAAAGAAAAAAGTATTTAAATATATATATATATATATATATATATATAATTTTGAGTATTTTTTTCTAAAAAACTTAAAAAACAGTTGTCATATTATTTATTAAATGACTGATTCTAAAAGAGAAAAGCATGAATTTTATTAGTGTAGAATATCATTTCATTAAATCGAAAGAAAATTCAATCGTAATGAATTAGAAATCATTTCCATAAAAACGTATCGATTTTGACTAATTTTAGAAAAAATCGTAAAAAATAGAAAATATCATTATTTTGTAAAATTAACTATACCGTATCGTGCCAAAGTAAATGATCTTTCCAATTCTGTAATTTTTTTTGTCTGAGTTTCATTAAAAAATTAGATCGTATATTAAAAACGTCTGGGATAAAAAAAAAGGTCGGTAAATTGGAAGTTCGTTCGCTGGCGGGAAAAAATGGCAATAATTATGCGTTTTAAGGTTTTTAATTAATATCCTTTTAACTAATTGCACTATTGTAATATAAGTGGTCAATCTCTTCCGATCTTTTGATACATTTGGCTAGTTTCTGCGTCGTGCGGTTCGTGAGAAGATACACCTAGTCGTATAGTTGCATACGTTTGTTTACCTTCGAGATTTAATAGTGTAGATATTAATTAAAGCAACTTTTTTGGCTGGAATCTTACAACTCAATTTTGAAGCTGGTGTCTTCAACCGATTGAGCTGAAATTTTGTATACCTGTTTAGTTTAGACGACAATGCATGTTTTGATGATTTACATTCCGATATTGCAATTAGTTAAAATGAAATTAATTGAAAACCTTTGACACCTGTTAGCTTTTTATTCCGCAAAGCAGCTTATCGGATTGAGCTAAAAAAAGTTCCGATTTTTCGATCTTTCTTTAAAAAAACATTTAGTTCTTTCTATTAAACTGAGACAAAAATGTAGTTACATAAACGGAAATATCATTTATTTCGCCACGATGCGGTATAATTTTTTTTAAAAAAAAACACAATATTTTCTATTTTTTACGGTTTTTTCTAAAGAGAGTCAAAATCGGTGCGTTTACATGAAACTGATTTCTAAATCGTTCCGTGTGAGTTTTTCGTGTTAATGAATCGATATTCATGCACTAAGAAAGTTCAGGCTTTTCTTTTTTAGAATAAGTCATTTAAAAAATAAAATGCCTAATTTTTTTTTTTACGATTTTTTAAAAAAATACTCATATATTGAATAAAACATTTAAAAACTTCGTCATTTTTAAATATCATCGCACGAAATAATTTTCTCGCTTGTAGAATAGTATTACCCAAATTTTGCACAAAAATTTAAAAAATTGGTTTAAATTTTCGGATTTAAAAAAAAATTATGTTTTTCATTTTTAATATAGTATTATAGTAAAAGCAAAAAAAAACTATGAATTTTTATATTGTAATTAATTTTTCTTCGTCCAATATTGTTTTGATTTAACAGTGTTTATCCCCCCTTCCCATTATCCTCTTGTTGCGGCCCGAGTGAAATATCTATCTTATGTATGTGGTCTGGCGGGAAAAAAAAGTTGAGTACCCCTTAGCTGGACTATCCAAAATTAACCGGCAACGACCTTTCAACATTGATGCGTTGAATGAGATTATCAGACTAAGAAACATATGTCCACTGATAACTAAAAAGTAAAAAATAAATTAAAAGTAAAAAAACCTTTTTAAAAACAAGCTTTTATTTAAATGCTCTAAAAGGAATGAAATAAACTTTTCTTTTAAAACTTTTTTTGCTATCAACTTATAAAGTCGTTATACAATTTCTGATATAAAAGCTTGTCGCGAGATTTACCGGTGTAGATAAATAAGCAAATTAAATAACTTGATCTGATTGATTTAATTTTTAAAACTTTCAAACTAAATAAATGCGGGTATTTTAATCTCGCGACATGCTTTTATATCAGAAATTGTATAACGACTTTCATGATAGCAAAAAGTTTAAAGAAAAGTTTATTTTATTCCTTTTTTTAGATTATTTAAATAAAGAAACTGTTCGGTTTTTACTTTAATTAATTTTATTTTAAAATGTGAAAGTATTGAACATTTAAAAACATATCTAGACGACAACAAAAATGTTTCCATACTAAATCTGCAGTTTCAAATGGTCAGGGAAGCAAGTCTATATCTGAAGAATCCTCATCAAATCTTTAGTATAAAATTAAGGATTAACTGTATGAGTCAAATTTTTTTTGACGGACGAAGCCTCTATTAATGCAGAAAAGGAAGAACATTGTTTTTGGATATATTCCAGTAAGTTTGATGGAACATTATTATTAATACCTAACAAGGGTCTCATTTTAATCCACATCAATAGCTCCCAGAGAAAAATGCCATACCCTCTCTTGTTTTAAATGCATCCTACTAGAACTAAAAACTCATAGATTCATGGTATTTTCTTGTTCTTGTACCCGGACACATGCATGTAGATCAATGTGATTCAAATTTATCAATAATAGTAACAATTTTTTGTATAACTAGGGAGACCGTTCTAATACCTGAGCTAATATTTAAGGGCT